AATTCAAATAAAATAACTATTCAGTATATATCAGATCAGTATATACAGGAAAATGATCAGATGGAAAAAATCCATCTTTATCATGATAATCATCTACTTTTGTTTCACCTTCAACACGATAAACACTATTTAATGAAATCCAAATAAAATCAATTTTCGGACCATAACCAGCCAATCGAAAACCATTAAATGTTGGTGTTTCTCCATGTTGATATGTATCAATAAAACCAGCTTTTTTCATTTGTTCAATTTCTGATGCTTGTTGTCCTAAAAGAATAAGTTTATCAACAGGTGTTTCACCATCAACTTGTTCTGGCCAATTATTAAAATCTCCAATAACAATAACTTTATCAATATGATCACCATTTTCTTTGATTTGTGATAATAGAATAGGTATAGAATGATGACGTGATTTTTGAGATGGAAAATCAAGATGAACATTATAGATAGTAAATGGTTGTTTTGTAATAATATGTTGAAATTGAGCACATGTACAACCACGAGGATATTTTGTATTCCAAGCAGAACCAATTGTTGATGGATGTTCATTAAACCAAAATGTTTTTGTTGAAATAAGTGAAAATTGATCATGACGATAGAATATAGCATTAGTTATATACCACTCATCAAGTTCTTCACCTATCCATGACCAACATTTTGTAGACCTACGAACAAAAATAACATAATTTATTTTTCTAATGAGATAAATTTTTGAAATAATTTACTCATTTAAATCATCAAGAATGTCATTAAGTTGTGGTGGATAACCTTCTTGTGTTCCGATAATTGTTGGTTGCATGTTTTTAAGACAATCTTTTACAATTGGTCTTCGTTTTTCCCATGCATTTTGTGTACCACGATCAATAGGACCATGACGTAAATTGAATGTGCAAACACGTATAATCGTTGTAGTTATTCCTCGTGTAACAGTGTCCATTTTTTTTTCTTGCAAAATACACTACGTCAATATTTTTATGCTTACGAGTCATAGTAGATTAATAACAATTTTATATTGGCCATTCAAACAAAGTAATTACAAAGTAGTACATGATAGAGGTCATTGGAGTCGGATAGGTTACCGAATCGATTTATAGGTGGTGGGACCACAAAGCTTCCATAGACTGAAGTCTACCCTACATTCAAGTATCGTAGGTTAGAATAGACTCAAACATTTGGCTCTTATTCTATCCGATTGATAGGTTTATGCAGTGCATCGAAACTTTTATAGAAATGTCAAAAATCTTTCATCGGCTTGTGCTACGAATAGTAACATTTGAGTAGTGAAAATGTTCTTGAAGAAATAATTTTCAACAAAATGAACAAATCTCGAATATAATTCTTTTTTCTTTGTGAAAATTACTGTTTCATCATTGTTCTGTTTTTTTTTTCAGTAGAGTAAATCGAAAATTCTTCTTTTCACAGTCGAAATAAAATAATTCTTGAAAGTTTAAACAAGTATTTTTCTTTTTGTTTGATTACTGATTATATAAATAGGAATTATTTTTGTTGATACGAAAAAAAAACCAAAAATTATCAAAGCAATGATACTTTCTCTATCGATTTAATTTATTTTTACAAAAGTTTATTCATAACATTTGATTTTATAAAACACGACATATATTAAAAATATAATAATAAGAAAGAACAAACTTATCAAATAGAATACAGATTACATGACTGTATAGTGTACATGTATTCTCTATTTATCGCATTTGTTTTTTGTTGCTGCATATTTTAATTATAGATCAATGATTAGATGAAAACATTTATGCAATATAAATTAAATCTGCATAAACAGGAAAATGATCAGATGGAAAAAATCCATCTTTATCATGATAATCATCTACTTTTGTTTCACCTTCAACACGATAAACACTATTTAATGAAATCCAAATAAAATCAATTTTTGGACCATAACCAGCTTTTCGAAAACCATTAAATGTTGATTTTGTATTATGTTGATATGTATCAATAAAACCAGCTTTTTTCATTTGTTCAATTTCTGATGCATGTTCTCCTAATACAGTAAGTTCATCAGGTGGTGTTTCACCTTCAACTTCTTCTGGCCAATTATTAAAATTTCCTGTAACAATAACTTTATTAATATGATCATGATTTTCTTCGATTTGTAATAGAAGAGTAGGTATTGAGTTATGACGAGCTTCTTGAGATGGAAAATCTAGATGAACATTATAGATAATAAATGGTTGTTTTGTAATAATATGTTGAAATTGAGCACATGTACAACCACGAGGATGTTTTGCACCCCAAGCAGAACCAGTTATTGATGGATGTTCATTAAACCAAAATGTTTTTGTTGAAATAAGTGAAAATTGATCATGACGATAGAATATAGCATTAATTGTGTGCCAATCTTCAAGTTCTTCACCTACCCATGACCAACATTGTGAAGATCTATGAAAGAAAATAACATTATTTATTTTCTACTAAGATGGATTAAAAACAAAAAAGTAATTAACTCATTTAAATCATCAAGAACATCTTTAAGTTGTCCTGGATAACCTTCTTGTGTTCCAATAATATTTGGTTGCATATGTTCAAGACATTTCTTAACAATCGGTCGTCGTTTTTTCCAATCATTTGGTGTACCAATATCAAGATCAGCACGACGTAAATTAAATGTACAAACACGTACAATTAATTGATTCGATTTCTGAATATTCTCAGTCATTTATTTTCTAATAATAACTGAGTTTCTAATTCGTTTCTTCAATTAATGAAAAAAGATTAATTATCGATTGGTAGACTACAAAGAGCAATCAGTAAATAATATACGACAGAGGCCCTTCGTTCTTTACTTAATACAATCCTGAGTCATGCGTAATGTTAATATTTACTACAGATAAACAAAAAAAGAAATGCTTTATCTGCGTTATTCATTCTCTTCAAGAAGAAAAGTTAGGAAACGATGTTATTCATTAATAGATCTCATCCTGTAAATATCAGAGATCTTGTTGATATAATTTATGATACATTAGAATATCTACATGATATGCTAATACAAAATAATGCATCATATATAATATTTGATGGTACCGATTTAGGTACTGAACGACATGGTGGTCTCGTGTCATAGGATGATGATGCTAATACAGGTATGTTGAATGAAAATGAACAAAAACTAGTTGGTTTATCAGATATATTTGCTTGATGAAATTTTATTTTGAGTAAAGCATTATTTGTAAGATATATCGTCTTTATCATAAAAGTTTAAGTAAATCTCATGCATATAATCAATATTCATTTTCATTTGTTGATATAGTTGTATTAAATGACAGAGGTTCAAATTATAAATATTCAAGTAATGAAGCACGTATTTATTGGCCTCCGATGCTATTATCATATGGTTGTTTTGATCGTTTTGTTGATGTTCAATTTGGTCATTTAACACTTCGTATTTTATCAACAAATGATATGAAACAACATTTAAATGATAATTGTGGAAAAGATTGGCCTTATGTTGCATGAAGAGAATGGAATTATTATTTGTATGAATATATTCCTGATATACGTGTATCATTGAAAGAAGAAATTAGAAAATGACCAGCACAACGTTCAAAATATCAACAATCAACAAAACCATTGTTAGATCAAAATTCAGGATAAAGAATAGAATCAAAAATATTTTACTTTTTTTTGTAAATTTGATAAATTTATCAAATAACTATTTTCTGATAGAAGAATAAATATTTGCTTATTAATATCTACTTGTTTATGAAATAAGACAATTATGAATTGTATTCATGTTACTTGACATTGAAAAATTATGAAAAAACTTGTTAACGCCACCCATTCTACGCTGAAACGTAGAATACGAATGTCTTCGTTAGATTTATTGTAGTAATACAAAATATACACAATGTAAAATCTCTAAAAGACGATAGTTCTCTTCTAACGATAATCGATTGTTAGCAAAACGCTGTCTTTTTTATTTCTACCTTTTCGAATAGAAATTTTGTTTCCTTTTTATTTATTTTGTTACTATTCGCTTGATATTCATTTTCTTCTTTTCTTATTTCATTTTCACAATTTATTATTATGAGTCAAATCATTGATTTAATCCTTTCAATCCCGGCGGCTCCTTAAGGAGCACCCATATTTTTCTTTTCAACATTAATGTATGCAATTAAACTGATTTCACACTTCAATAGACGTTAACAATACCTTCAACATGATATATCACATTAATATTTTTTATATTCACATATTTCCCCCCCCCCCCACAATCTCCTTTTCTTTAAAAAGGAAATTAAAATAAAATAAAATAAGAAATTTAAAAAAAGCCTCTTCAATTTTTCGAAAAAAAATCGGGACTGAAAGGGTTAATGGACAAATAAGTCTCTTGTAGACATTCATTATATCAACAGCACGTCTTAATGATTGATTTTCTATCTTGATGAACTCAGAAATGCTGATATTGATTATTTCCGAAAGTTAGAATTTAATCAATGCATACTTTTGTCTTGGTCATATGACAGTTTTGGGCAATCAAAACATTATCATTGATATCTATCATGTAATCGTTTATCAAGGTAAAGTTAGAAACTGCCTTAGTTAGAATATAGAAAAATGTGTTGCAGTTATTTAAATTTCAAGGAATATTAACAAACCCTCGAAGCCTTTTTATTAACGTCGTTCAGTACCTTTAAATCCGGTTGCTAAAGTCTGTAATGGGGAGTCGTAAAACTATGACTTAAAATTTACACTTACTATTTTCTTCGAAAATTTATCATAGAAATTTTCTCTAGCACATAATCAATATCTATTTCCTCAAGTGCTATATTATCATATGGTTGTTTTAATCGTCTTGTTAATATTCAATTTGGTCATTTAACACTTCATGGTTTATCAACAAATAATATAAAACAACATTTAGATGATAATTATGAAACAGATTGGTTATATATAGTAGTTGTCAGAAGTCCTGCTATCAAGTAACAAGTACATAAACTTCAATCCTTTAGCCTAATGTTTTGACTAGACATAGAGCGCAGTAACCTCTGATCGCGAATAGCAACCCAAGATCGATAGGCCTTAATACAAAGAATGTACGATGAAAATACTAATTTTTTTCTCTAGGACCAAAAAAACAGACTTTTTGGTAGTTTTCTGGTTTTCCACTATTATTTCCATTTTCTTATTAACAAATACAGATACGATACTTCAGCTCTCTGTGATCTTGAGGCATGGAGAAGCCTCCATTGTCTGCGACGGTCTCAGCATGGACTTCTTCTTCATTTATGACTGTGATCGTGAAATTTCCAAGGGAAATGATTAAAATTAACCGAAGATATGTATCACTTTTCGACGATTTCCATCGACTCTCATGTGGAGATTACTCAAAGAATATTTCATAAATTAGGCCAACTAAAACCGTTGGACATAAAATTTCTTTTCTATGTTAAGATATTCTCATCGGAAGAAAAAAATCTATGTTGATCTTCTAGCTCCTTCGTATGAAGACTGATTAGTCATTGCAATCAGAGTTCAACATGCTCTATTTGTAGTCAAACTTTGAGACTAAAGAATTAAAGTTTAGGCATTTTTTACTTAGTAACGAGACTTTTTACAACTACTGTATCATTTTGTGAGAATTGAATTGTTTTTATTATGAAAATATTACCAACATGCAGAAAAGGCAAGACAATTATTAAAACTGTGTAGATCAATACATTATCATAATCTTTTTCATTATTGATATTGATAGAAAAGAATTGAAAATAATTTATAAGAGATTTTTTAATCTAACAACCATCAATAAAATAGAATAACTTCTTCTTAATATTTTTTTCTAATCTTAAAATAAAAGTAAAATAAATCCTATAATCTTACTTATTTTTTAATATGGTTCAAAAAATCTTTTGATGTATATGTTTTATCAATGACAATAATGATCTTTAAGATTATTATGAAGATGAATTAAAAAATAAATTTGAATAAACGATTTTATCTCTCCTTGATGAACATATTATTATAAGAGGTTTAAATTTGTCCTACGTAACCTCGTCCATTATTCAAAGTCATGAATAATAACAAGTTTAGAGTCTTATCTCGATAAAAAAAAAATTTGTGCTTTTCTAGCTAAGATTTTGCTTATAACATAATTATTTGGATTTTCTAAATTTGTTTAATTATAAAAGATTCTTATATTGAAACATACATGAATTTTACAAAACATAGAAAACTTAATTTTATTTAACGAGTTATGGAAAAGTATTTTAACAAAATGTACATTTGTTTTACAGTAGAAATAATCTTCTCTACTGTATAGATTATATTACCGATTTTTTTTTCGCATAGAGTAAAAAACAAAATTGTTCTCTACAAACTGATATAAGAATCAAGAGTTTCAAAACAATTATTCAAGAACATTCGAGCTCATTTTGCATAGAATTCAAAAGAATTGACCGATCTACTTTACTAAAATACTTACACTGTTGACAAATTATTTCAAACAAACTATACCATTGTATTAAAAATGTTTGCTCTTTCATTTCTTGCATTCGAAATAATTGACGCTTGTTCTTTTTAAAACAGAAATTTTGATTCGATTTAATCATCATGATTGTTAATGTTTTTCTCTTATCAATTTGTTTTTTTACGCGATTAGAAATTCACATACTTCATATCATTTGTTTATCTAATTCGATATATTGATACGATTACATTTAATATATCAAAGTCAGTATGGTAATCTTTAAATACACGAAAAATGAATCATTTACAAGATTTTCAATTATAAATATTTATAAAATATTTTCTTTTCAATATATATATATATATTGTTGTTAATACACAAAAACATGTTTTTTGTATAAACATTCAATTATCAATATGTCGTATATGATTAACTTTTGTATTTGACGGAAGAATAACGCCCTCTCCGGAGATTGGTATTATTCTTTCTTTTGAAAACTAGTATTTATTTTCTATAGAAAAAAATAACAGAACATTTCTTTTTCTGACTAAATAGATTATTCGACATACAAAGAATAAAATATGAAAAGAAGAACTTGTAAAAATATTGAAAGTATTTCTAAATACTCGAAATGGAATTTTAATAAGATGCATATAGTTTAAAGAATAATAAATATAAGCACATAAGAGATTTTGATAAATTCTTCGTTATATTTATATGTATATAAAAAGATATTCTTTTCTAAAAGAAAGAAATAAAATTCTTACTTGAATTTTAATATAAAAAAACAAACCAATATTCTTGTCTTATTGATCAAGAAAATAAGAACCTGGAATGTATTACAACATATTTAAAATATCTTGATATTCAAACAAGCTTCTTTTAACAGAAATGAAACAAAACACTAGCCTGAAGTTATAGATGAGAAGAATATAAGAACCTAGATAGTATTATATAAGCTATTTAAGATTTCTTGAAGTTCAATCAAGCATCTTTCGACAGGAAAGAAAGCAGATTCTTGTCTATTCAATCTAAGATTGGAATTTGAATTAGTTCAAACTTGAATCAAACAAAAATCTTAAATCAAAACTCAATTTTAGCTCTGGAATTGATGTTGAATTCCGGATTTTTTAAATGAACTACGACGTAGTGATGATACTTCCATTGTGGATAACCAATCGATTATGAAAGATTTATTTAAATAGTTATCAAAAAAAAAAAACGAACAATTTTTCATTCAGTTTTTATTTATATATATACCCTCTGATTTTTGAATCGGATATTTTAAAAATAAAATTCTTGAAGGTCATGAATTAAAATGTTTTGAATCCAACAACGATTTCAAAATATGCTTTGTAGAGAATCATTTTTTTCTGTATCTTCTAATATATTCAATAAAATTTTGTGATATATCTCGAACAACTTCCATGTGAAGTTTTTTCCGTCAAATAAATCTTTGAGTCTTAAGACTCACGTGTAATCCAATAGTCAAAAGTCATACTAAACATATAGTCTAATTCTAATATTCTTGTTAAAAGTTAAAAAGAAAATATTCATATTGATGTATAGTAGAAGCTACATTCAAATCGTAAGAATCAGATAAGTATGCAAGAAAGAAAGAAAAAATGCATCAATCAAAAATTCAAGAACATAAAAATCTCATTGGAGAGATACTTCTTCTCTTATCAACCAAAATTTCGTCTACATTGATCTTGCTAGAAAGCATAGATCCGGATTTTTTTTTTTGTTCAGGTAAGAATCTTGACTAATGGTCAAAAATTAACAGTTCCAAGAATATTCATTAGTAATGTGTATTCTTATGAGATTTTTTTTTTTCTTAAAAGTTTACTTATAGACTAAAGCAGAAGTATTCAATATGGTATTTATCATCGTTTTTTCGAAGGATATTCATTAAAACACGTATGAATAAGTACATATAATAATAGATTGAAGTTATGCAATAAAGAAAAACAATACAATTCAATCAAATGTAGAATAAAAAAAACGTATTTTTAATGAATTATATTTTCGAGCTTGAGATGAAATTTTC